GGATTTCCCAAGGATGGCCACCCATAGCCTGCCCAATGGCTGGAGTTCAGGCTGGCTGAAGCGACTTTCCATCACCTTTGAGGGAGCGAGCCCACACGCTGAAGCTCATCACTTTCTCTGCTCCCAGTTAACATCACACCCTTCTCTGCTTCCATGAGGCCGCACAGTGCCTTCTGGTCTCAGATCTGACACTGGGAGACCCTCAGAAAGTCACTTAAGAAGATCAGGGCCTGTTTCCTTATCTGCAAAAGAACGGGATGGGACTAAAGTCCTCTCCACCCTGTGGTACCAGCTCTGCTCCAAACACATCTGTCTTCAAGAAGCCCTAACAACTGTGACAGAAAAGAACTCACAGCCCCAGCACGCAGAACAGCACCTGGCACTGAGGGGTCCTAAGCCTGGGGGTAGGTGCTCAAGAGATATGTGCTGGTAGGATGGCTGGATGGTTACATGGATGGACAGACCCTCCCCCAAATCCCAAGCCTGCTAGCAAACAAAAGTTAGCTGTCTAGAAAGAGGGGACCAGAAGAAACCCATCACCCAGCAACATCAGGTACTTACATCAGGAGCAAGCACCGAGGGCAGCCTGGGGAGAAACGCAGACCAAGAATCCACTCCTGACCCAGCCCTGCCACGGCGAGCTGTGTGACCGTGAGCAAGTCAGCTCGTTTGCTCCACTGCACAGTTTGTCCCTCCCATCTTCCCAGGATGGGCTTGGGCCTGCCAGGCTTCCAAACAAGTCACTTCCAATGGCCCCATATCATGGAAATGGGCTTCCAATGGCTCCATATCATGGAAAGGGCTTTGAAAATGGGAAGTGCTATGCAAGTGACAGTGACATCAGTCATCATTAGTGCTGAGGAGGGTGAACTCTTGGGCCAGACCACCATGTCAGAATCCCAGCTCCCCCTTTGAATAGCTCTGTGGCCTTCAGCTTCAGTTCTTTGTCTGTGACATTGGAATCATCCCAGCATCCCCCTCACTGCACTGTCATCAGGATTAAATCAGTTTATTTTTGTAAAGTTTTTAGAATGAAGCTTGGCAGATATGAAGTTCCATTAAAGGGTTAAATTCTCACTGTAGCTATTATTAGTAATATGGGTGAAACCAGCCTCCTCGGACTCCCACGGTGTCCCTCTGCAATCCAAGCACGATTTCGTGCTGGGCACTTCCCATTCCCCCATTCACCTCTTCTCCTCCAGACTCCCCATCCCGACCTACAGACCTCCAAGTCACTCTATAGAGACATTCTAAGGCCCTGTGTGGCAGCTGCCCTAGTGTGAGGAGAAGCAATTTGCACACCATTCCTCCCCCAGTCCAGGTCTCCCGCACACAGAAGGCCTGACATCTGCCGGCCTTGGTGGCCACCCCATTTGGCGATCACCCTTGAAAAATTCCTTTGACTCATTTTTCAGAAGTTGAGAAAAGCTGCTTCAGCTCTTTCCAAGGATCAGGAGCATGCGTGGCAAACAAGCCCTCTCACCTCTCCATCCTGGCCCACCAGTGCCTTACAGGAGGGTGGTGACCCTAGGACCGTTCTACCCAAGGTCTTGGGCAACATCTGTTGAGTAAGATGAAAACACAGTTGAAGATTAAGCCTCTTTGCCCTGGCTGGCCGAGGTGCAGCCTGGGAAATGTGTTTGGCTGGCAGGGCCTGAAGCTGGGCAGAAATTCTGTGTCTGGGAGGAGGGGTCCTAATCCCAGGGGTTAAAATTTAAGCAAGATCAGTGAAAGGCCAGAGGGAGAGCTGGAGCTGAACTGAGACATGAAGACATGACACACAGAAAGACAGACACATCGTGAGGGACAGGGAACGGGCAGGGAGGCCGGAGAACAGCCTACAGGGGCTGAAGGGCAGGCAGCAAACGGAAAAGGAAGGAAAAATAAAAACCCGCCCTTTCCTCCCTCTTGTGAACCTGTTCAAAGCACTTGCCTCGCCCGCCCGTGAGGAAACAGGTGCTGAGTGCTCTCGGGGAAGCCAAACTTTCTCCCGGTTTCCCCTGGGCCACTTTCCCACTCCCCAGGGACAGTAGCAGGGCTTCCAGCTAAAGGCAGCTGCCACCCTCCCTCATGGACCCCCACCCTTTGAACTCGACAGCCCCACCCACTAGCCATAGCAGTCCTGTTTATTGAGAACCTAACCTACCAGACATTGGGCTGAATGCCTTCCTTCCAGCCATTCAAGAAACACATATAGAGCACCTACTGTATGCAAGGCAGTGGGGACACAGCACCGAACCAAACGGATAAAAATCCCTTGTCCTAATGGAGCTTACCTGCTGGCATGGGCAAAGCTCCTCAAACAAGACAACTAAGTAAAATATACAGTGTAAAATGCACCATAGGGTGGTGCATGCTAGGGGCAATAGAAGCATGGAAGGGGGACTGATGCTGGGGAAAGAGAAATGCTGACACTTGAGTGAAGACTTGAGGTTCAGCTGGGTGCCGTGGCTCACGTCTGTAATCCCAGCACTTTGAGAAGCCAAGGCAGGAGGATCATTTGAGGTAGGGAGTTCGAGACCAGCCCAGCCAACATAATGAAATCTCATCTCCACTAAAAATACAAAAATTAGCAGGGCATGGTGGTGTGTGCCTGCAGTCTCAGCCACTAGGGAGGCAGATGCAGGAGAATCGCTTGAACTCAGGAGGCGGAGGCTGCAGTGAGCCAAGATCGCACCACTGCACTCCAGCCAAAAAAAGAAAAAAAGACATGAGACTGGGGGAAAAGCCTTGTGGGTATCTGCGGGAAGAGTATTCCAAGCAGGGGGAACGGCGATTGCAAAGGCCTGGAGGCACCATGTATGTTCAAGGACCAGCAGGAAAGGCCAGGCGGCTGAAACAGAGCGAGTGAGGTGCTAAGAAGGAGATGAGGGAAAGAGGAAAATGACAAGACAGAGGAGAACGAGAAGCCGAGGCGAGAGAGGAACCCCCTGGGCTTTTGCTCCAGGGAGGCGGGCCAGCGTTGAAGGGCTTTGAAAACAGATGCATTAAATGGATGAATGTGCTCTCTTTGGTCTTTTGGCAGCCTTACAGTATAGGTACCATCACTCACTCCCATTATGAAGAGAAATGGAGGTCCAGGGAGGTTAGCAATGTCAGGATCATACGCCCAGGGAGCGGGGAGGCTGGGATGCAGAAGGAGGTGGTCTAACTCCCTCGCTCTTTACCGCGGGAGGCAGTCTGGTGTCACAGCCATTGCACCACCAGGCGGCTGATCCAGCCTCCTCAGAAGGCAGAAACCCCTGCACAGGTGGGGCATGTCATAGAGACACGCAGCCTTGCTCAGGCAGGAGTCTATTCTGGATTCTAACTGCAGTCCCTCCAGCTGGAATGCCAACCTACCCCCTTTTGTCCCAACCTCTGACCGCTCTTCATGTAAACAAAGCTCATGAGACTCCCAGCAGCCAGACATCTAGCTTCTGCCCGGTGGTCCCTAAACCCTGGACCCCCAGCCTCATAAAGCAGCCAAGGACATTCTGTTCTTAGCCACAAGGTGGGAGTTCAGCTGGAATCAGGAGAAATGTACACTCACCCCTCCCCGCCCGCCCTCCTTGGGCTCCCATGGTGTCCCTCTGCAATCCAAGCGCAATTTCTTGCTGGTGGTTCCAAGCCAGACTGCACTCCACCCCCAGCTCCCGCTGTTGCCAAATGACCCTCAACTGGGCTCCGTGTGAATAACACTCCGCATCTGCAGCAGCAGGGGTGGGCAGCGCTGAGGCCCTCGAGGGCCTGACCCTAGTGAGACCAGGGAAAGAGGGGCCCCTGGAAAGAAGGTAAACAGCCCCAGCAGGGCCCGAGCCAGAGAGCACAGAGCAGTGACACTAAGAGTCCCAAGCACTTCTGTGCACTTCAGTTCACTCCGTCACCGCCCTTAATGGGGAGGGAGGGACAGGGAACACTCATCAGCACGGAGGGGGCCTTTGGAGCATCTCATCCAACCCCTCTCTTTGACAGAAAGGAAAACTGAGGTCCAGAAAGAAACGGGATGGTACCAGCCCCTTGTCACAGAGCAAGTAGGTATTGATGAAAGGAAAAAGAATGTGTCCTGACTGAGTGCCCAGTGTCTGGGGCTGAGCAAGTCACTGCAGAGGTGTGTGAGGTACCTACAACCGCCTGGGTCCCAGGACAGCCTTGCCCCGCCCCCAGGCTCCTGCCAGCATCAGTACCACCACAGGCACCTCCACAGGCTGATCCAATTATGCCCACATGGTGCCCCTCCGGGACACATCCACACACCTGTGCACAGGGACACGTGTGCACACAGACAGCCCCCTTTCTTCTCCAGCAGCCCTCAGAGCCTTGTCTATCTCCAGGGACATGGTGGAGACGGAGAAAACCTCTGAAGGGTAAGAAGGTGGTGAGAGACAGGGAGGAAGAGTGCCCAGTGCATCAAATCAGCCCAGCTGGCATCAGGGTGGAGCAGGGCCCTCTCTACAGCCCACAACTCACAGGGATCCCGCCCCAGTCCAGGCTATTGCGCAGGCCTGATTCCAGGGTGAGGGGAAGAGGAATGAGGGAAGGGAAAGGGAGCAAAAAAGCCAAGCCAAGCCAAGCGGCTTAGAGGCAGAGCAGAGGCTGCCTGCAGGGAGAAACTGCCCAGGTGAATGGACTCTGAGGGTCATCCCCTGCCTCCAGCCCAGGGCTGCCTGACCCAGGACCAGGCAGGCAGAAGGAGATGCCACGGCAGCCCCTGGTCCTCTGAGTCCTGGGACAACAGGCACCTGGCCAGGCCTGGAGACACACAAGATGCCCTTTTATGGGTTTTTCTAAGGACGTAAGTCTCAAGGTTGGAAATAGCAGGCCCTGCATCTCATCAGAAGGGGGCCTCATGACTCATTTCCTCCCAGGCCCGCTTCAGCCCAGGGAGGTCGAGCCTCCTTCTCCACCTAACTGCCCAACACCCCAGCTACCAACATATTTGGGTCTAAAGAAAGCTGCAGCTAGGAGCTGTGGAAGGACGGGAGGCAGGGCTAGCAGGGCAAAGAAGGGCTGTCACTCACCGCCAGCTCATGGTTGGATGGAGGAACACAGGGGGCAGCCACCTGTGGAAGGAACAGAGAAAGGGCAGGTGAGCATCTCTCAACTCCAGAGACAGCCTGCTCCTCCTGAGGTCACCCCATGCCCCCACCCCATTCCCTCACACACATTGACACCTTCTGGGTCGAGAGTTTTTCAGCAGACTATGCAGCAACATGGAAAAAATGTTCCAGCAATAATGCCTGGAAAGGGAGCGGGGGCCACAGAAAGCAAAAATGAAGTGAGCATCACAATTAAAATTCTGTGACAAATATGCAGATGCTGGAAGACTGGAGGTCACTACACTGGCATTTCAATAACAGAGGCTTCAGGTAAGAAGAAGAAGGGTTTTTTGTTTTGTTTTGTTTTGTTTGCTTTATGTCCTGAATTTTCCACAATATGGTAAAATTCATTTCACATTTTTTTTTTAACTGTGATTAGGACCCTCAGAAAAGGGAGAGTCACCTCTTTGGTTCTCCCCAGTGCTAAGGGATCTCACCTGAAGGTCAGAGCTGCAGAGGACTCCTACCAGCCCGGCAGTTTCCTAGAGCATGTAGGAAATGGGTAGGCAAAGGGACCCCCAGCCCTTTCAAGAAATAGGTTAGTGCAGCTAATACATGTGGAAGGCTTGGAGAGGCAGAAGCCCCCTCTGTGAGTGCGCTGTCATCTTCACCAGCTTCATGATCCTCATCTTCCTCTCTGATCCAGAGAAGGAGATGGCAACTTGAACCTCCAGACAGGCGGAAGAAGGGAAAGGGGGAGAGTAGAGAGGAAGAAGGCAGGAGGAAGGAGAGAGCAGAGGGGAGGGAGGGAGAGGGAGGAGGAGAGCAGAGGGGAGGGAGGGAAGGCTCCATTGCTCCCTTGCCTGAGATAACATTCCCCTGGCCAGGCCTGGCAGCTGAGCCATTACCCTGACAATTAGCAGGGGCATTTATCAGAGACTGAATGTGCTCCTTTTTTCTAGCCAGGACACGCTTTTCTTGGAGCTCAGTCCTCAAACTTGGCTCCAATTCCCAACCTGAACACCAGGCAAGGGGCCCACAGAGGGCACAGAGGGGGAGACGCTCCGTCGGGCATGCGGCTATCTGGGAACAAGCCATGGATGTCCAAAGTGGGGGTAGCTGCCTCCCCCAGGCAGTAGGCAACCCCTCCCCAACTACCAGCCTGGTGGAGTGGTGGCAGAAAGAGCCCTCAGCCCAGCCCCAGCTGGTACTGACTGGGCATAATGGGCACCCTAGCGGAGCCCTCCCTCCAGCTGACCACATGCTGTCATCCCACCAGCCCAGGGATTCCCAGGCTTAACACACCAGCCCAGACTAGGACAGTACCTGTGGGGCAGGGTGCCCCAAGCTCTGGAAGGGGCAGAGGTGACTGGGAGTTGGCATTCCTGGGTTTTTGACACAGTCAGACTACAACTCATTCTCCAGCAAAGAGGCCCAAGTGGAGACCTAGCATTAACTCCCCTTGCTCCACAGAATTCTAGGACTGGTGGGAGAACCACAGGGGGCCGAAAAGAGCCAACAACAATGATATCCAACACTACTGAATGTGTCCTGGATGACAGGCATGATGACAAACACTCTACCTCGTTAATATTTTTAACCCTTTCAACAACCCAGTAAGGTGGGTGCTACTGTTATTCTCCCAGCCACGGTGTGCTGGGCGTGGAGAGATTAAATTGCCCAAGGTGACACGGCTGATAAGTGGCTGGGATTTGAACCCAGGCAGTCTGAATCCCAAGATGAGATGTGAAGGGAAACTAATCACTTGTGGTCCCAATTTCGGGAGAATAAGGAGACACGGGCGAAACAGAACTGCCCCAGAAGCCCAAGGTCCTTAAATTCACACTAGCATGGGGCTATGAGTGACCGTTTTAGAAGAGGCCCCTGGGGGACAGAGCCCAGAGCTCGGGGAGAGGGTGCCAGGGTAACAGACTGGGAGGGAAGGTAAGGTCACCAGAGCTGGCTGTGGCCTGCAGGGCTCTCTGCTTGTCCTGCCTACAAGACTAGGTAGAGGGGACACGGCTGTCCCTGCCAAGCATGGCAACAAACCCCGCTCTGGGGACTAGGAGGTTTCAAGATCATGGGCTAGGGCCCCAGGGTGCCTTCTCCCAACCCATTCTGTCACCACAGGTCCCTTAGTCCTGGGGCAGGGAGTACGATTCCCAGGACAGCATCCTTGCTGTGTTCCTTTCTTCTGAGCTTGGGCTGAGCAGGGACCGCTAGCCAGGCTGAGCTGCCAGAGAACTGGCTGATGCCTGCCACTGCCAGGGCCCCAGCCTCCAGCAGCCCCCTCCGTCACAGGAGGTGGGTTTCTGCGCTCCATTTAGAAGCTGAGGATTGGGAAAGGGAGGGAGGCAGTTCTGCCTGCATTTTGAAGCAGGAGCAGAATAGACAGGTGTTCTCTGAGATGAAAAGGAAGGTCTCCCGCTCTCCCGCCCAGACCCCCGCTCAGGAAGTGGACAGAAGGGGGCCCAGAGATCCTGGTTGCAGGTCTCTTCCCTGGCCTCCCAAGGCAGAGACACCTCCTAAGAACCTGGCCCTGCAGGGGAACTGTCAATCCCCAGCCCAAGGGCCCGATGCCTGTGTGCCCCCTCGTGGCCTGCTGCCCCCCACGGCATCCTCCCTCCTCCGCCCACAGCCGCGCATTCCAGGCCTGCAGGCCGGCCAGCCCACTGACTTTGTTGTGTGTTTCAATGTTTCTTGTCTCTGTCTTTTTTTTTTTTTAAGCAGAGAAATGTTTCCTTAAAAGGCTCTCGCCTTCCCTCTGACACCCTGGCCCCTGGCCACCCTCTCAGGAGCCCAGAATGTGCCAGGGAGAGCCAGGGCCCCCTGCCACTCTATGGCCCATGCCCTGTGAGGGCCACAGGTAAGGAAGCCTCCCTCTGCAGATGAGCAAATGCTGGGGGTGGCTCTAGGGGGTCTCGGTGCCAGCCCTGCCATAGGTTCACCTCCTAGGGCTGTCAGGGCAGGATTCCAGGGCTCAGACCCAGAAAGTCAGCCTCAGATAAGTCCCCTTCCCCCCAGTGGACCTCAAGCAAACCATTTAGACATTGGGAACTGACAGGGTGTCCTGCGTGATCTTTTCACTCTGAGTAATATAGCAGTAAAAGTCACAGCAGCAAATAAATTCCCAACACCCTTGCTCTGTGCCAGGCACTGTTCACAGCACTTGGCATTAATTAACTCATTTAATTCTCATAACAACGCTGAGTGCTATCATTATTATCCCCATTTTGTGGATGGGAAGACTGAGGCACATAGAGGTTAATGAGCTGGAGGGAGGCAGGATGCCAAGTCAGGGTCTGGCTCTGGAGACGTGCTCTTGCCGTCCACAGACAGAGCCATCCACAGCCACAGGAACAGCGCTCATGGAGCGGATGCACTACATCTACACTCAGCCGTTTGCTCGCACTAACCAAAGCTTAGTTACTGTACCAAGCCCTCTGCTCTCATTGGATGCTATTCCCTCCATTTCACAGATGAAGAAACTAAGGCACAGAAAGGTTAACACTGCAGCAGAGCAGTCTGGCTCTGGAAGCTGCAAGGTGGAGGCCAGCAGGTGCAGCTGGGAGGCGAGCGTGACCAGACCAGGGAGCTGGGAGGTGAGCCTCCCAGCCCAGGGCTCATGCCTGGCCCCCATCAGCCCCCACACCCACTAGGATTTTCTCAATTTCAAAGGGCCCTGAGCACAATGCCAACAACTGGGCACACCCGTGGAGACTACCCCATGACAAGAGGGCCTCGAAGCGCTAAAGAGCAGCCAGGCAGGCAGAGAGCTCCCTGCACGACCCAGGCTCTGCCCTCCTCTCCTGTTTCATTCTGTGCTTGTCCGCCTAGTCCGGTACCTGCAGGCACACACAGTGGTGGGTTCCTCTCAAACCTTCCAACACTTAGCTCTGTTCTTCTCAGAGCATGTGGACACACAGCTCCCTCTGCCTGGAACGCTCTTCCTCCAGCTGTCTGCATAGGTGGGTCCTTCCTGTCCTTCTGGCTTTGGCTTAAATGTCACCATCCCAGAGACCCTCTTTAATTCCCTTATGTTTCTCTCTCTCTCTCTCTCTCTCTCTCTCACACACACACACACACACACACACACACACACATACACACACACACGATATTCTCCCTCCCACACTCATATCTCTTCCTTCACAGACCTTACTAGAATTTGTAATTATAGGTGTGGGTGCTGCCTTGCCTATAATCTGTTTCCCCCTCTGGAAACTAGTCCCAGCACAGAGCCAGTACACAGTAGGTACACCTGAGTGTTTATGCTTACAAAAATGTATGTGCCATTACTGCCTATTTTATTGTGTAAAATAACCTATGAAATGTTCTGTCATGTGTTTACATGTTTCTCAAGCAAACTCACTTTTAAAACATAAATAAATATCTTTCAAAGAATTTCTGTTATTTTTACAAAATTATATTTTTGGAGTTTTAACATTTGGGATGATGGCATTCAGGGTTGTGTTTTTTGGGATTACGATCAGCTCCCACTGGGAAGAGGTCATCAGAGGTAGACTTGGTCTGTGGACTCCAGGTGCTAAATGTCTGCTGAAGGAATGAAAGTGACTCGAGGCCTGAAGAAGGGAGGTGCCTGTGGCCACTTGTGGTAACAATCGCTGCCATTTGTGAAGCACCTACTATGTGCCAGGCACCGGGGCTAATTTTTGTCATACCCCTGATCTCTCTGAGGCCCTCCAAGCCTGCAGAGTCCACAATATTGCTCCCATTTCACATATGGAGAAACAGAGTCTCCATGAGCTCATGATGACTGCCCAGGTTAACCAGCTGGGAAGGAGTTTAGATCACAGTCCCACCTCATCTACATTTGTGAAAGATAAAATTTCTGGAGATTTTAGCCCTTTGGGTGCATGGTGCCATGGTTCTGCGGTGGTGAGCCGTTGAGGTTTTTGATCAATCTCATCACAGACTTAGGCTGCCCATCATGGTATTTCAGGTGACTGTAGTTACAAAGCTGGGGGTATGCAATTACCAACCACAGTGATGTGCGTTTCTAC